TACAGAATGTATTATTTAAGAAATATTATTTATAATAATATTTAAATTTTTAATAATAATGAATTTATATTTTTTAATATATCAGATTTTGAAACAAAAAAATGATAATAAAGAAAATGAAAATTTATTAGATAATAGTGAAAAACAATTAATGATTAGTAAAATATGATAACAAGTTGGATTGATCTTATAGATAATAAAATACAAGAATCAGAAATATAAAAGAAATAAATTTAGTTGAAAATTTTAATATTATTATAAATAATATTTCTTAAATAATACATTCTGTAAATAATATACAAGCAAAAATGGATGTTGTGTAAATAATTTAAAACTATCTAGTTAAATAATTGGTTAAAAAAAAGAGGTTGGCAATTAAGTCCAATTGTTCCAATTGAGAAACTGATTACAGTTAAGCTTGTTGAACTGATCAACACTACGTGTACGTGTAACCGTGTCACAAGTTATAATGAGAAACCGTGAGAATTCAAATTTTTGCGTTTTTTATCAAAAACCTTCACGCTTTGGAAAAAAAAAAAAAAATAATATTTATAGAGGGTTTATTATTATCATAACACAATGGATGATAATTACAAGGTAGACGTCGAAGAATTAAAGATTGCTCATAATCGGTTAACCGTAGTGCTTCGCGAACGTCAAAAACGCCGAAAACTTCAATTAGCCTCGGTAGAAGAATTCAAAGACCCGTTCCCAATTCAGAAACGCGACAAAAAGTCAAAGAGATCAGTAGCACAAAAACCAAGGGCACAAAATATTTCTATTGATAACAAAAATGCTTCGTCGGGAAGCAAAAATGCCAACAAATATCAAAAGAGAATTGCAGATAATTTCGAATTTAAAGTTCCTTACCCCAAAAAAACTCTTACAATGAATATATTAGATGAGAAGCAAAAATATCAAATTAATGAATATCATAATTTATATCAGGATGGAGAAAAAACAATCCGTAATGATTATTGTCAGCATTTTGTGGACTCGGGTCGACGACCCCAAAATTTCATCCGTGATACCGAATTGTCTCAACGATTCGACGAATATCCAAAACTCAAAGAACTCACAAAAAAGAAGAACGCATTGGTGGCAGAAAGAGCCACCCCTCCAACATATTTAAAGGCTGATCTTAGAACATTAGACTTGAAATCTCTTGGAACGAAATTCGATGTCATCTTAATCGATCCACCATTACAAGAGTTTGTATTTGTTTTTTTCCCTATGTAATAATTTAACGAAGTTATAACTTGTTATTTTATTGTCGGTTAATAATTATATTGCAATACTCAGGTATTGTAGAAGGTCTCCGTTGGTAGCGGGTTCAAATTCAGATTATTGGACCTATGACGAAATTATATCCTTTTGTTTTCCCTCTCAACACATTTATTAGGATTAAAAGTAAATTTGTTATATATTTCCCCTTAACTTGTAATCTTACGCCAATCTTAAAATTGAAGATGCTGCTGCGACACCTTCATTCATATTCATTTGGTCTGGAGATGCTGATGGTTTAGATCGTGGGAGACAATTACTTTTAAAGTGGGGATATCGTAGATGTGAAGATATTGTTTGGATAAAAACGAATAAGAAATGGAAGGGAAGTCATTTCATTGAGCCAAGATCAGTCTTTCAACGTACCAAAGAACATTGTATCATGGGTATCAAAGGAACAGTTAGGCGTAGCACGGACGGCCATTTCATACATTGTAATGTGGACACTGATGTGATCATATCAGAAGAGCCACATTATGGGGGTCAGTTTTCAAATTTACAATGAAAAAATAAAATTTTCTTTGGTTTAAGAACACTTAACTGAGGGGTATACTTTTTATCATATTCTAAAGTGGGTACAGCTAAACCCGAGGAATTGTACCACATCATAGAACATTTCTGTCTTGGACGTAGGAGACTCGAATTATTTGGCGAGGTATTTTTATTTTTATTTTTTTTCGTTTACCTTTGCGTTGAACTTGAACTATATTGCGAAAAACTAAGTCATTTTTTGAGGATGATTTTAATATTTGCCATATAATAAAAGGATCATAATATTCGTCCAGGATGGTTAACCGTTGGCTTGGGCCTATCAAGTTCAAACTTTGACGTGACAACTTATTCGTCATATTTTTCTGAGCCAAATGGACATCTCCTTGGTTCAACAAATGGTAAATACTTATTTTTTTGATTTTTTAAAAAAAATTGGATGTAAATTTTTTTTTTTCCTCAATAGAAATTGAGGCTTTACGACCGAAGTCGCCTCCGATTCGCGATAATTCAACGGCAAAACTTGGAGCCCAAGGCAATATTATAAAACAAAAAACCAAGAAACCACCACAAACTACTTCAAATATCATGCCGGTTCCTTCAATGCCTCCTACTTTACCGGCATTTCCTCATCGGTGGATTCCTCCACCTATGGATGCAAAAGTGTACGGTACTCCATCTATGGATGGAAATATTTACGGAAAATAAATACTAATAATTTAATTTGGACTAATAATGGAAAAACGCGAAAATTTTTTTACTAAAGATACATTTCGACCCAAGAACATTTATACATATCATTATCGTTATTGATTAAAATTATATTGATATTAAATAATAAATATAATTAGGAATCAATTATCAATTAAACGTTTATCAATTATCCCCATATTCGTACGTTACAATCCCAACCACAACTCGCAACCACCCCATTTAACACAGGATGCCAACACGCATCTGTACAAATTCTTTGATGAGCATTTTCAATTTTTTTTACAATTTTTGAAGATGACCATTCGTAAAAATACAATCCACCATTTGAATCACCCGAAACAATGAAACGACCCAAATCTGGTTCGGGTGAAAAATTACATTTAATTGGATGTCCATTAACTAAATGTCCTTCAAATCTCTGTTAAAGCATCAACAAAGCACGCGAAACATTTTAGTTTGAAAAGATTGTTGAAAAGGCGGAAAAAAAAAAAAAAAAAATACCTTGCGTTTATCCAACTTCCAAGGTTTATTCATTCCAAATATTGGGATATAATTTGCATTAGATTGAGCTATAAAATGGTTCTTGGAAGGATGGATCCTTAAAGCGGTACATGAATATGTTTCTTGGTAAATTTGATTTGATATAGTTGTAAGCTTTGAAATAATATTATTTATTTTAATACACATGACGTGTTAATATCCGTAAGTTTTAACATGACGATAAATAAAAAAACTTACTGAATCATAATCCCAAACTACAATATTCTTGTCAGAGGCATTCCTTACAACATAATCAGAACAAGTGAGTAAACTATTACCATCAGGAAAAAATTCTAAATCGTTAACGCTTCCCCAAAATTTTTTGGTTTCTTTAATAATTTTATTAGAGCGAATATCCCAAGAATATATTCCATCCTTTATCATGCCTGAAACAAAAATATTTGATTGCGTAGGATGATAACGAAGTGAAGTGACTATATGTGAATGTGGGAATGACTATTTTTTATTTATATTTAAAAAATAAGGATAAAAATAAAAATTATGAATAACTACGATAAAAAATGGCTTAACTAAAGCAATGGATCTTAATGATCTTGTACCTGAATTTTAGTTCCTTTTTCAATGTCAGTTAATTTTACGATCTTATCGTATCCTCCTGAAAGTATATGGTTACGAGTATGATCCCACCGAATGTCTTTTACTGCCCCTAATATAATTATTAAAGAGATTTGAATACGAAAAAACGCGTAAAGAAGGAAGGCAGACAAGAAGATCACGAATACCTTCATGACGTAAAGTTCGAACACATTGCTTTGATCTAAATACATCCCATATTCGAACAGTACCATCCATAGAGGCTGAAGCCAACACTTGACCTTTTAATATATAATAGATATTAGTGGAGAGATTTAATTTTAATTCTCAGTTAATAGAGAAACGCTCACCAAATGAACCACACCATAAAATAGAATTCACTCCATTAACATGTTCAGTTTTAAGAGAAATTATTTGTTGTTTTGGAATAGTATTAAAACGGGCTTTACTTTCATCCCGAGTGTCTTCTAATGCAGAAATTATTAGATTAGGTAGCTTCAGTAAGGTTCCAACATAAGAGGCCGTATCACGGTTCTCCTGATTTACTGCTATTGAGTGTTCATTTATATTAGCTTTTAACTTTTCGGCCTCCTGTTTTAACTTCTCGCGCTTTGAAATATAACCTTTAACTTTTTTTTGTGGAATTTCTGTTGAATGTTGACTGTGTGAAAAACGTGTAATTGTTCCTTCTATTGATCTTTTTCTTTTTTGTTTATTGAAAGAAGCATATGGAATAGAATTCTGTGAAGAATGTGAATCTAATTCAACAGTTACGGCAACTTCTTGAAGAAAGGTTTGTTTATTTTCGGATTCGTTGTTGCTAGAATCACTATTATAAGCTTCGACTATATTTTCCATAATATTAACAATATTAACAGAGATCACGTGTGTAATTATCGTCGTCTCGGAGAAATTGGAATGGTTGATATCATGTGATTTGATGTAAAATGCTCCCACTTTCGTAAGCATGCATCATTGGTAAATCAAAACTTTGTTAAGTATCATATAAAAATTTACTGTTAGAGATTTAGTTTTTTAATACCAATTACAGAGTT